TCTTAAATCTTAAATTCAAATGTGAAACCCATGAATAAGCAGGTTTTATGCTTTTAAAGATTTATAGGGGAGTGGTGGCATAGGGCTTGGATACCTGAGGTTGTGAATTTGAAACCCACTCCCACAGACTGCCACTCTGGGTCTCTGAGCATCCCCTCACTGCTCCTCGGGTCCTGCACAATGGCAGCCCACTGCCCCCCAAAGGGAATGGATGCAGATAATTAATTTCTCCATTGTGATATCGATAGAAAGTTCAATTTATTTTATTTTATGCATTAAAACCTTTAAAAAAACAAAACAAAATGGATATTAGGGATGTTGAATGGTCCATCAATGTTAGTTTTGAGTTGAATGTTTTTCACAGTTTTTTAACAGATAATGGATTCTATATTTACTATAGGTGAATCTGGAAGAAGTTGTTTGCAATTGTTTTGAGTTTGATGTATCAGAGTAAAAGTGGGCTGATTGAAAAAAGTGTGGCACACTATTAAATAAAAAAAGTAAAAATTAAAAGTTTTTCTTCTGCTTCACTTATTAGGCACTTCTTTGTGTTGGTCTATTACATAAAATCCAAGTGAAATCAAAGTTTGTTTTTGTGTCCAATGCATTGTAGGTTACATGAACTGAGATTAACCATCTGATCTTTTTTTTCATTTGCAGACACTTGGAGGTGTTAAATGAGGAAACTTTCTGTTTTATCACTTCTTCCTCGCACTAGCTTTTTGGAGGACATTGAAGCAGCAGATGAAAATCTTTCCAATGTAAGTTTCCGCTTCTTTGTGGTATGTGCTAGTGGCCAAAAGAGGGCGCCCTCTCTCTTAACTGGTATTGCTGTGTCAGGCCTGTCATCACAGCTTTATCAGTTAGACTTAAATGGCTTTGGCATCCTCTCCTCTCAGCATCTTAGGGAACACCGATTATTTCCCATCTGTATGCAGACATCAGAGGACTTGTTTTTAAAAAGTGAAAAAGAGGGTCTTATTTAAATTCTTCAAGCAATTTCAGAACAATCAGCTGTTGGTGCTGTGAAGCATAATTATAAGGCATCCCCTGCGCACTCCCAGCTTAAGTTGATGTTTCCTATTCAGCAAGGGGCTCATTAGCTGCTCTTCAGTTGCATCTGTGTCTCTGTGGCTGACGGCTGCAGTCTGAATCATCGTCTGCAAATGGAGCAGATCATTTGAGCCTCTGCCTTTGTGACTGCTGATGCAGCATCAGGCTGAGGTGGCGGCGATGCCAGCAACAGGGGACAAGAAAAGCAAAGAGGGTAGATCCTAACAGAGAGATGCTTCTTTATCATCCCTTAGAGTGTTCACCTCTATTTGACATCACTGCCTTCTGTTTCCCTTCTTGTCCTGCATCATTAACATTCTCCCATGAGCACTTTGAGCTCCTTCGGGGAAGCATTAGTTGGATTCCTACCGTTCATCCAACTGTTGTTCTCCAAATTTTGGCTTCATTTAATAGGTCAGAGTCACTGCCTTGGGTATTTTCATTTTCTTGGCCGGTCCTCTAAGTGTTTGGGTTTAAAGCTGTCCCAGTTCTGCAAAACAGTCTGATTACTTTCTCAGAGTTTAGAAGTATACATACTAATATCTATAGTCCTTTTTTGGATAAAGGTCAGGTAGTCATGGTTTTGTACGCTTCAGATGGGTCTGCTTACAGTAATTCAGGAAAGATTAGTCGCTTGTGGGTCCATTTTAAGGCAGGACCTCTAATGAAATGCTTCCTTGTATGATAGAGCAAAACCCAGAAGAAATCATTGAAGCTCAAGAAGAGAATGATGGACCTCCACCTTTCTTCCTTGGGTAGAGAAGGTCATTACCTATACTGAAATTATTCTGTAACTACATGGGCTGAAAGACCGCTCAGTGAGGAAGAAGCCATTATTAAAAGAGCATTTGAAAGTAAAAGCAAATAGTTTGTAAATTCACTAAGAAACCTATTCCTGGTGATTCCTCTGTATGTTCCTCTTCATGTTTAAAGAACTCCATTTTCCGTGGTTAGTTTCTTTTTGATTCCGGGGTCTTTCTGGATGGAGTTCTCCCTGAGCATGGGTAGGTTCTCTCCGGGTACACCGGCTTTCTCCCACAGTCCAAAAAATGACTGTTAGGTTAATTGGCTTCTCCAAATTCTTTATAGGTGTGTGTGTGAAATGTTTTTTGTCCTGTTTGTCTCTGTGTTGCCCTGCGATGGACTGTGACCTGTCCAGGGTGTACTCCACCTCTTGCCCGTAGACAGCTGGAGCTAGGCACCCATCGCAACCCTGCTTGGGATAAGCATGATGGAAAATGGATGGACGGAATAGTTTCTGGGTCCTTCCCAACTCGTATTCATCACAGGGTTGTGTGCATTAAAGCACTAGTTATTCCAATCTCTTTTAGTAAACATATAGGCTATGTGAGGAGCCATTACTCTCATGGTATTCTCCATCTTTTGTGTCTGATGCTCAATGACAGGAGAAGCAGATTATAGCAAAACAAAAAAAAAGATTCCTCCCGTAGATAAATTAAAGTCTCTCTCTAATAATGTCTGTTTTTTTTAGCCAATACACTCAAATATATGGAAAGCAACGGATATATGTTCCTTTTCTAAGAAGGTCTCCTCCCTATGCAATCAGAACACAGGGTGTGGTAGGTAGAACAGAATTGTTTTGTTTATAAAAATCCCAAACTATGTTAAATTACCGGTAAATCTGATTACAGACATGATAGGATGATAGGAATCAAACACTAAATGCAGCGGAAATGAGGTTAAATGCTTCCTTTTTTTAATCTAAACTAGCCTTGGATCATTACTTGTAAAATAAATAGATCATATCTTTAAATCATTGCGTAGTAAAACTGAGCTTTACGCAAACAATTGACAGGAGGCCATAGATTACTATACTACTGTTTTTGTCTGATGTCTTCTTTCTTATAAGAGATAATCCATTAGTGATCTTTCTCAACAAAAATTTAAATAAAAGACCTTAGAAATTGTTTTTTTTAGGCTGTTCAACCCCAAAATAAATAAATAAACAAACAAAACAGTCATAAAGTTTGAGATCATCTGTACATTTTATCTTATTCTGGAAATCTGATGTATTTTCATACCAAAATATGCCGTAAATTATTGTAAGGATGATGTGTACCGTTTATAATGTAATATGTTGTCGGGAATCAGTTTAATCAGTTTTTGTTATAAATAATCAACGTTGCTTAATGCAAGAATTTGTTTTTCTTTTCATTGTCTCAATCAATGTAGTAGTTTTCCATCAGATGTGTAATTGCCTCAGAATGCATTTTTTGCGGTAGAACACTGCCATTAATTTCATTGCATTACTAAGTGGACATAAATCCAATATTCTCATTTATTTTATGTAATCATGCTTTCAAACCCCTGCTGAAAACTCTTTTGCACAATCTTGATCATTCTTGGTTCTTTTTTCTCAACTCACCACACATGGCTTTCCTTGGATTCAGAAACTAAAATGCTAAACATTAAAAGTTGTGGGTTTTGTTGTGTCGTCTTGTGAGTCATTGCTACACCTTTAATTAATTAGGTCCTAAGTTTTGGATCATTATTCAGCTGAGAGGCATAAAATGATAATTCTTTTTGAGTTTCATGGTGGAGTCAACCAGATATATTTGAGAAATAAAGGAATTTTATTTATTCATTCATTGTTTCACACCCTAACCACCTGTAAATGTGGTGATACGCCTCCCAAACAACCATTTAATATAATTGTTGTTATGGGGACTTTACCCAAGATGCTACTTTTTGCTGCAGTTTCATTTGCTTTAAAATGTCAATAATAGGTATTATTTTTATGTGCAATTTCCTCTCTTATGAAACTTACATGTATCTTCCTTTCTTTGATTTTGTTTTCTCTTTTTATTATATTTTGACGGAGATTTAAAGAAGTGTTTGAGTGGATAAGTGGATATCCTTACATGGATTCAAAGTGGCTTACCTACAGCACAGTAATTCCTTGGGAATGTTTAAGAACAAAAAGATAAAGGATGCTCAAAATAACGCTTGTTTATCATCATTTCAGTTGGCTGGATGACAAAAAAAAGGCAGCATCAAGGCTTCTTCTCAGTTTGAACAGAATGTCCCTTTGAGCCTTAGAGGGAGTGCAGAGTCCAGGCACGTAAACATACAGTCTGTTATCTGCTGTGCAGATTAGCTCTGCCTGTCCTGTTGAGAAAAATGTGTGTCCCTTAGGGAATGACTCCTGCACTAACTTCACATTTGCGTTCATTCATTTCCCTAAAACATCTCTCCTTCCTCTTCATCCTCTGCCGGCTTGCTCCTGATTGGCAGGTTTCTGCCTCCCTGTTCAAATCTAAGCCTGATGTCTGATAGGGATCACAAAAAGACCTGCTCTGCCTCCTCTTAAGGTTGCCTTTACCCTAGAGAGTCCTATATAGCTATAAATGTTGGAAACGCACCTCTTGCAGAGGAATTTGAGCATTAGAGGTGCTGCTGGTTTGATTCTGATTTCTGCTGCCACAAGGAGAGCAAGATTTCACAATAAGACTGTTGCACACGAGAGCAGACAGCCACAGAGACGAGCTCCTGCTCTGTAGGAGGCTTGTCCTGAAGCTTCAGAGCGCCTGACGGGAGCTCTGTGATCTGCAGGGGTCTTCGGGAGGTCTGCGGCTGCATCCACTTCCATGCACCTTGACCTCAGGTTCTGAGGGAGAGGAGGGATGAGGAAGAACTACAGCGCCATCCCGCTCATCTATGTGACTGAGGTAGATCTGGAATTGTTACACCTTTAAATTCTCTGTTTTTTAGTTTACTACATACTTGACGTGTTGTTGTTTGTTTTATCTCTGCTGTAGTAGAGGAAAACCTGCCTCTCTCGTCTTGGTATTTACACTTTATGAAGTTCCTTATCTAAAGTAAACATCTAATTCTTCACAAGTGTGGTTTATAATCCTAAAACAACTTTGAGACCTCTTATTTAAGCATACTTAGTTTTTTTTTTTTTAACAGGCTTTGAGGTTTAAAAAAAAGAAAGTTAAGCACTACAGTTGTGTTGTAAAGTGCTTACACCCGCTTACAGTTAAGGAAGTCATTTTTCAAGCAGTTTAAGGTTGAGCCAGACAAGTTTCACCACGTTTAATTTTAGGTGCATGCGTGCCGTTGGCCTTTGCAACATGAGTAACACCTGAGGAATGCCGGCTTTATTTTTACTGCTTTGTAATTCCAAAACTGTGTTTTTTTTTTATTACTATTTTGATTGCTGTTTTAGCTCAATGTTAATAAATAAAATGGACATTACTGTTTTTTGAGATCTCAAAACAGCTGTCTTTATCAGATCACCACAATCTCAGCTGCCGCATTTAAAACGTCCTGCAGACACATCCCAGTCAGGATCTGCATTGTTGTGCTGAGTCTGTGCATCATGACCCTCTGTGTGTCCATGTCTGCACGCCGAGATCTTACGTAACCTCAATGCTGAAGCACAATGAGGCCCTTCCTGTCATGCCAGCAGCCATCCTCAGTCCACAAACAAGGAAATAGCTGAGGAGAGAAGCAGCAGGATATCTCCCTTTTAATGGTTCCCTAATTTGTCGTCATAGTCCTGCAAAAAAAAAGGAAAGAAAAAAAAATCCAACACCTGATCTGCAATCAGCTGTGATTGCAAGCTGGTTTTCAAGTTGTATTTGCCCTTGGTGTGTTTTCAAACCTTCAGTGATGAATTTTTCTGCAGCTTCCATCCTTTAATCCCTGCTTTTTTACTCAGAGGAGATCACAGCATGAGTTGTAAACAACATAGTCCTCCTGCTTGTTCTTGTGCTTTCATGATTAATTACTTAAAAGGAGATTCCCTGCAATGCAAGAACAGTTCACATGACTGGATTCATGCATGCTTTATTTATTGGAATAGATCATTCTGTCTAAAGTTGAACCATTAATTATTATTTTACTACCGTAATAAAAATCATTTCAGCTTCTGCCTCGGTTTGCATGAAGGTTTTCCAATAAGTGATTTAAAAAAAGCCATTAAGTGTTTACATCACCATTTTACAAGTTGGATCAGTTTTTCCAGTAATGGAAAAAAAACTGCATAGTTCTGAGAAACTCCGCAGTTCATTTAAATAAACAAGTGTCTGCATATCTGTGCAGCAGCTCTTCCTGGTAATTCAGAATCAGTACCAGCTGATACCCTCTGGCGCATATTTTCTGTTTCCTGATAAATATATGGATGTTTTCTCTTTAGTTATCAGCTCAGCCAAGAAGACATATTTGAATTGCCTTGTTGATCCTTTGGAAGAGAAACTGACCTGTTTTCAGTCACTGTCAAAATTAGCTTTTTGCGTGTCCAGTTGCTTTAACATTTGAATTATTGCTCCTATACGGGTGAGGTTATATCAGTACCTTTTTAACCCAGCAAAACAGGCATTGATGATTACTAATTAAATTAATAATTACATTCCCTTTTTTTTCTCTTTTTTTTTTTAAATCTTTAAGTTAAGAAAAATTATCTCAAATTAAATGTTAAATTATACTTCCTTAAATTTGCTGGTCTATTGTTTATGATTAGTTAAAATCTGAATTTGAATAATTTTGGACAGAATATAGAGATGTATCAAATGCTTGTGGTTTTTGACTGTCATCCAGATATTGTCAAACTGATGCTGACTCATTGGAGAGTTTGAATAAATTTGTCCAGAAGAGACTGGAGGACATTATTTTATTTCTGGGGCACTTGTGCTGATGTCATGGCTGCTAGGAATATAATTCAGATTTATTGCTGTATTTTGTGAGTAATGCTTGGAAGATTTACCTTACTTTTTAGTTAAAAATGTTTCCTTTTTATTAATTAAGTAAAGTGCTCCCCATAAAAAGTGCTCTTTGAGCCAGATGAGTCTCACTTTTTGTAAGCTTGCTGTTGTTAGTGAATTGTTCAGGCTTGTAAGAAATGTTTTCGAGATCCACTTCCTGTTGAACTTCCATTTCTGTTTAAGAATGAACCTGTAGCTTCAGCATTCTCGGAAAGGAACAAAAAAGACATGAGCAAGCAGGCCTGAGTCATCATTTTGATATTTTCCAACAGATGTTAAATGCAAAATTAGCATTCAGATATGATAAAAAAATATATATATTTTTTTGCTTTTTGAACTAAAAACCTATTAGTTCTGTAATATGCAGCAAAATGCTTATAAAGACTAAAGATTTGGTTTGATTTGACAAATCTGTCAGCTGCTGTTTAATTAAAGCCTCTTTGGTTCCATATTATAAAAAAAAAAAACTTTTAACCACAATACTGTCTTAATAATAGACCTTATGTTTTAATGTGAGTACTCATAGTTTTTCTCAATAACAATGTGATTTTTCCTCAAAAATAATAATCTGCTCTCCAACAAATTAGATATTTAATAGCTGGTTCCAATTCATTATGTTCCATCACTCATTGCTTTCACTTAATTATTCAAACACTCTTTTCCTCCTACAGTAATTGTTTTTTCTTTTTTTTTCTCTCTCTCACATTTCATTGAAGGCGTTCATCATGTCCACAGCATTGAAAAAAAGAACGTAAATCCATCATTTCACAGATATTAGGCACATAAATTTCACTCTTTATGGAAGCAGTGATGTCTCATGAAAACAGGACTCGTTTCCCCAGAAACCAGACATTAACGACTCACAGAAGGTTCACCGGATAAAATTATTATAGTCGACATTGGAGGACTAAATGGCAGTTTGGTTGTATATTTAGCTGTTTTTCTTAACCTCTTTAGAAAAAACTATTGTCTGGTAGTTTAAACCCCAGTTATTGTAACAAAAAATGGCTGAGGGCAAACTAAAAACTGTACTTCTGATAGTGTTTCTTTAACACTAAAGTTTTCTTGCTCTGTTTCTATTACCGACATATTTTTGAAGCCTGCATAGCTTCCACCTGAGCTATGGATCTCAGGAGGGTGGGCATACTGGCTGTTGCTATTATTGATCCATGTCTTTGCATTACATTTCTCCAAAGCTTTATATTTGACCTGTCAGAAGCTCAGAACAAAGGACCCAGAATTAAAGCAAACCAATCAGAGTGTTTTCAAAGCAAGTTTATTATCTGCTTGGGGCAGAATCTCTGGATACTCTGTAGAGGTGGAAACTCAGGTTAGTGTTCACGAAATTCAGACTGGAAACGATAACGAGCATGTGAGTCACTAACCTGGTTAAAAGTTCAGCCTGAGCCCAGAGGAAGGAGTGGAATCCATAAGGATTGTTTCTCCGCAGCATGTGGCGGGAGGCGCCACCAGAGTTCCAGAAGAGAAGCACAGCAGACGGAGTAGCTGAAGTATTCGGAGGCAGAATCCAAAGTCAGAGTCAAAGCAGGAGCAGGTTTTCAGTCTAGAAGATCAGAGAACCAAAGAGGTACTGAAGGAGTACCCAAGCAGGGGTCAGGAGACAGATCCAAGGTTGTAAGCAGGCAGAACCAAGGTAACAGTCCGAAGACAGATCAGATAAACAGAGCAGAACCGCGGCAAACAGTACTCAAGTCAAGAGGCAGAAACTTGTCAAAATCAGATAAGCAGAAACACACAGGTTCCCCAGAAAACTCTCACACACAGCTTAAATAATCTGGCACTGATGGCTGGGAACAGTCAGCTTAAATAAGAAACAGGAACAGGTGGATCGGATGACTGACAGTGAGCGCTGGGCGGAGCTAAGCAGGTGGAAGAGATGAGCCAAATCCAGCTATCAGGGCCAAGGTCATGACAGTGACCCGTCTGTCAAAATAATTTTTTTAAAGACCAGCATCCTGCAGCTTAAGATGCCTTCCTGGTTCTTCACTTCTCATCATGAAGTCTGGTTCTTAAGAGTCCTGCTCATTAATAATTGTTTATTTTGTGTTGAAGCAGAAATCCATCTAAAGTTTTTAGGAATTCAGGCCTTGGGATCCAAATTTTAAACTATTGGTCTTCTTGATATTGATAGCTAGCTAATGTTCTCAAACATCTAATGTCTTCTTTAATAAAAGCTGCATTTCATACTGAAATATAAAAAAGACATATTTTATTTAAAGAATTTTTGTGTTCATCTAATAAATTTAAACGAAAATTTGCAAGCTTTAAAACTGATTTTGGATCAAGGAGGAATGTGCCTATTTAGCCGCTAAACTGTAGCTACTGGCTAACTGTTCAATTGTGTTAGCCTACTAGTTGCTAACTCAGCGTCTTTGCGCAGGTTGCTGACACTTCCATTTTAAAAACCATAAGAAACAAAATTATGAAAAAAATTGAAAACAATTAATTGTATAATTGTTGTATTTATAAGTTAAGTTGTTTGTGTAGCGATTATAGCCTTTAGTAAAAATTAGTTCAGTTAAAATTTTAGCCCCAAGCAAATCAAAACACATTTTCAACCATATTATTATAAATGGTAGAGGATTTTTTTTATTATATGGGGATAGAGCAGAATCATGCCATATGACATTAAGTTCAAAGTTTGTAGCTAAGTTAAAAAAAAAAAAAAAAAAGTTTTTTTTGCTTTTTTCTGTTTTTTGTTTTTGATGAAGAAATAAATGTTTAAAAGCCTTTTATTGTTTTCTGACCCTAAGCCAACGCAATAATGGTAATTGCAATAATCAATTTTAAGTGCATCATCACTGTCTATTATATAAATAAAATTATTTGGATAAGGTCAACAAATTATTACAATGCCTAAAAGGGATAGAAACATTTAAACAGCATTACAGAGCTCAGATTAAAATATTGCAGATCTAATTAAATTTAAGTAAAAAAAA